AAAACACAACCCATCAGGTCCGAATTTTTCCTTTTAAGCGTAAAACAAATTGTCACCTTTGCGTGTTGACCCCAATGTCCATTTTTATATTTAAATACGCTATATCCCTGATATCGAGCACTTTAACCCATAAATATAGCATACCTTAAAACTATATTTTATACAAAATACAAACAAAATTACATTTAAAAGTTTGAAATTTCAATATGGCCTCTGCATTGTGTACAACTGGGCAGATATGGGCTCTCGAGAAAAATGAAGGGGGATATGCTTTTCCTTAAATATGATAAGAAGAGACTTCCTTACCGTAAAGTCCATCGTGAATGGGTGTGAAAATATGCTGGATGAAACACTATTTCCCCCCTACAAGAGGATGCAATTTGTTTACTTATTTCTCCAAAGCGCAATCGATGAACGTAATAAATGCTATTTAATAAATAAATACAAATGGGGCGTCTTTTTCAAATACGAAGTATCCACTATAATAAGGTTTGAAGTAATAAAGCTGATTATATATAATATAATGTATGTAAAAATGAAGATATAAATAAAATTTATGTGTAAAGACATTTCTTTCTTAAATATATATATATATATATATATATATATATATATGAGTGTGTGTGTGTGTGTTAAAAGTATAGTTTTAAGGTATCTTATATGTATGCGTAAAAGTGCTCAATATCATAGATAGAGCTTGCGTAAATATAAAATATATAAATGGCGTGAAGAATGCGTTCAAGCATGTAACAGACTGTCATCATTCGGTGTTGGCCTCAGTGTCATCTTTTATATTTATATTAACATAGGCTAGAACCCTGATATTGAGCACTTTTACCCATACATATTTCATGCCGTAAAACTATATTTTTGTCATATATATATATATATATATACCCAAGTATAAGATTGGTGTATACGGAATAAATTACAATAACCAAAAAATACTATTCTTAAAAGAGTGCTCAATACAGAGTGGAGCAAATATAATTTATTCGAAAATTATAACATAAATATGTTATAAAATCACTACAAAAATATCCATTTTGTTTCAACACTACTGGTGACTTATCAAGTGATGGTGTTGAATGTAGAATAAAGACTTTTAATTTGAATGTAGAATAAAGAGTTTTTAAAACACTTTATTCTACATTCAAATTAATTGTTATCAATATATATATATATATATATATATATATATATATATATATATATATATATATATATAGGTGAATGAAAAGCAACTTCCTATTTTATGTATGAGTGGGCAGCCAGGAGTCTTGACTTAACACCCTGTATTTTTTTTTGGGTGTAGGTTAAAGGAGCAAACCAACAATACCAAACCAAGACTTGGAAAGAACTTGAAGGCCGAATACAAGGTTATGTCTGTACACCACAAGAGTTCCTGGTGAACTCAGTTGATGCGATTCCTGGGTCGGCTCGAGAAGCTCGTAGCGAAATCTGGTCTCATATCTAATTTTAAACAAAACCTCCTCTCATCTCCATTTCTTGTAAAAATTATAGTTAAATAAATTATAAGTCTTTTAAAATGGGGAGTTACTTTTCAATCATGCTGTATATTTATATCTATATATATATTTTTATATATATATTGACCAAGTTTAGCTTAGTCTGGCAGGCGACTATAACACTAGATTATTCATTATTCATCGTCTTGGACCAAGACGAATTTACTAATCACAACTTTATGCGTTTCACCCCAAATATTTCATGTTTCATTATAAATAGTGATTTGATGTCCAAATGACTATTTAGTCAGTTTAGTTCCGAATATAATTTGGTAAAAAAAAGCCCGCCCCTTTGCGTTTGTGTAAATGTCTGCAACTGTTGCACAATTCGCAGATTTAGTTATTTAGTGACTTTACATAGATTCCCATCTATTTATGACTCCTAATTTGATACTTACAAAAAGATGTACCACTGCAAGCAAGAAAATAGGCACTAAACAAAATCGACATTGCTTATGAAGCGTTCGACATTTTGACATAGTTTTTCCTTTGTTCGGAGATTTGATGATTTTTTTTTCTCACTGCAGACATGTCTACAAAACTGACAACATTTTGGTCTTGATAATGGCCAAGACGGTGTAAGGTACTGGAAAAAAAAATCATAAAAATTGATCAGTTTATGAAAAAAACGTTTTGGGTCGATTACTTATTAGAAAATTACAATAAAAATAAGACAGAGTTTGTCTGTTAAATTCCGAATTTGTTTTTTGTATATTTGAGTATTAAATAAATGTAAAAATGCTCCACAGTAAAGGGATATACATATATATATATGCTCCTCAGTAAAGGGATATATATATATATATATATATATATATATATATATATATATATATATATAGTTAGTTTATTCAAATTTAGGTAATCCGTATGGGTAGACCTGAGGAGGATGATATCCAGAGAGCTCAATGTAAAATTCAGAGCAGATATGTTTGAATAAAAGACAGACCACGTTAAGATTCCATGTAATAAGCTATTTCACCATAACCCCTTTTACAGGGTTCTGGATCATCAGACTTTACTTCCAAAAAGCTGAAATGAAAAATGAAAAGAAATTCACACGTTTTTACGGACTTCATCAAGTATACGCAAAGTTAACGAAGTGAGGAAGTGAGGTGGGGAGAGAGGATATGAGTATGTCATATGTATCATTTTAGTTTTCTATTTTAACCTCAGTGTGTGTCGGCTGGATGTTGCTCTAATCTAACGCGTCTCGTCTCAAGATAAAGGTGGTTAAGGGGTGGGCGATAACGGCTACATTGAGGAAGACGCGTTATAACAGCCCATATAAGTGAGTCCCACGCGGAGAATTACACATTAATCACGCGGAGAATATCATTTAAATCTATACAGAGAAGCAAAGTGTAAAGAGAAACTAAAATGAAGGGTCGTACATATAATATGAAGATACGCCTGTGTCTGGAGAAGCCATGTTTAGGACTCCAGATTCAAACGAGCAGAATTCATTTATGTCCCAGGCGAGGACATATTCCATGAACGGGATACAGCGAGTCTTGGGTTTTCCCAAATTAAGGACTGCGAGCTGGAGTTCCTGGGAAACGGCACCATGGATTTTAAGCTGCTGGGGTGGGGACAGATTTAGCCTCTGCCCCGGCCAGGAGTACGGTAGCCCAAAGAAAGCAACCTTAAGGTTTAGCTGCTGAACACAAACTGAATTTGACTGCCGCTATAGCCACTGTATGGAGTGATGGCTCTAAGTGGCCGTCATGTGGCCCATGTGACTTATCTCAACCAAGATAATTGTCTTCTGCATCACACACCTTTAAATATTAAAAAATAAACCGATCAACTAATTAAATTAATAAGTAAACAATATATATATATATATATATATATATATATATATATATATATATATATATATATATATATATATAAGTCAATACATAAATAATTACATATATAACAAGAAATCAATAATAACAACAACAACAATAAAATTAGCGCAATTTTTATCAGCCGAATAATTACGTTACTTCGCGTCTCCTATAATTTACCTTACATTACAGAGTAAGTTTCTATAATGCTTTTGGGCGATCTCTACTTATAAATTTGAAAACATAACAATGTTTTTTTTCCACATTAATTCATTATTTTGCCAAAGCCGCTAATGGCTTCACCGATTGTCAACCTTTAAAAATTGGCAACTACTTATCTAAAACTTTGCAAAGGTCTCGCCTTTCATACAAAGATCTTACCATCGAGGCGGTTAATGTTAAAGGATTTGTGAAAAAAAAAAAAAAAAAAACGAAATGCAAGGATTATTATTTACACTGTTTACATTGTTCGGACTGTGATTCTCATCTTTGTTGCCATATTCACGACGTTTCGAAAATTTTACGCTCCGACCTTCTTCAGGTGATTGGAATTTTAAACCGAATACATATGATAAAAATATAGTTTTAAGGTATGCTATATTTATGAGTTCAAGTGCTCGATATCAGGAATAGAATGTATGTAAATATAAAAGTGGACACTGAGGACAACTTCCCATAGCGAGAATCTGTTTCATGTTTGAAAGCATTCTTCAGGATTCATGATTCCATTTAAGCATGAAACAGACTGTCACCGTTCGGTGTTGACGTCAATTTCCACTTTCATATATATATATATATATATATATATATATATATATATATAGTTCAAAATTTGGTATATTTATCGGGGATGAGTACTCAGTGTCGGAGGTAAAGTGTTTGTAGATATAGCCAGTACGGACATAGAAGTCTTTTAAGGTTCAATGCGATCTCCACACCAAATGCTACTACTTCTTAAGTGGACTGTATATATAACGGGTTTTGTATTTAGGTCACTAGAGACTTGACCGTTTTAATGAAACTACTTTTTCTAATTATATAGAAGTTAAATTCATTATTGATATTTAAGAATTTATATATTTGTAGAAACGCTGCAATAATCTTCTCGGTCTGACTTATTAGCTAAGCAATGCGAATTATATGTATAAGTATAAATCAAGTAAAACACTTCTTCTATTTAGACTTGAACATCGAATAGTGGCTGTGGCGGGAAACAGGCAATTATCCCAGCTACGAAGCAAACTGTGAACATTCGCATTTTTATTTGTCTAAGCTGGTGGGGGTTTAGGTTTCGCGCTTCTTTTAAAAAAGAAAAGGTAAGGTACAGTGAGGAAATTTGAACGAATACCGTTTTTATCTCATCCAGTTTTATTTTACTGTTATTTGGGAAACGGTTCAACTTTATTGTATAAAGTTTCCTCATCGCCATCAAACAAGGTGTCTTGCTGTGGAGACATGGTCTTTAATAAGGCACTCACTGACTAATGCTGCGCAAATTAATTCGATCCTCATGGTGAATTCCATTTTTGGGAACTTGTGCCTTAGTAATATCAATATTATTAGTCAATGCATGTAAAATATTCACCTACGTGAAAGATCTATCTGTTTTTCCATATCTCTCTATTTATCTAAGTATCTATCTATCTATGTTTTCTCATAACTATCAATCTGTCTATCTATTCATGTGTGTGTTTTTCCTATCTATCTATCTATCTATCTATCTATCTATCTATCTATCTATCTATTTTTTCATATACAGTGTAACCCGGATATAAGAGACCCGGATATAAGAGACCCGGATATAAGAGAAACCCAGATATAAGAGAGATTTTCTCTGGTCCCAAATTAGAGCCTGTGTTAATGTATATAAAATAGACCAAACCCGGATATAAGAGAAACCCGGATATAAGAGATTTTTCTCTGGTCCCAAATTAGAGCCTGTGTTAATGTATATAAATTAGACCAAACCCGGATATAAGAGAAACCCGGATATAAGAGAGATTTTTCTCTGGTCCCAAATTAGAGCCTGTGTTAATGTATATAAATTAGACCAAACCCGGATATAAGAGGAAACCCGGATATAAGAGAGATTTTTCTCTGGTCCCAAATTAGAGCCTGTGTTAATGTATATAAATTAGACCAAACCCGGATATAAGAGAAACCCGGATATAAGAGACTTCTTCTCCGGTCCCGACAACTCTTTTATATCCGGGTTACACTGTATAGATATTTTTAATCATTCTATCTATCTGAGTTTTTTTTTTATATCTATCTGTCTGTGTATCCATCTATCTATATGTTTTCTCATATCTATCTATCTATCTATCTATCTATCTATCTATCTATCTATGTGTTTGTTCATATCTATCTATCTATCTATCTATCTATCTATCTATGTGTTTTTCCATATCTCTCTATGTATCCATGTATGTTTTCTCATATCTTTCAATTTGTCTATCTATCCATGTATGTGATTTTCATATCTATCTATCTATCTATCTATCTATCTATCTATCTATATATATATATATATATATATATATATATATATATATATATCAAGCAAGGTTGTCTACAAAAAGTTGAATTCTACTACTCGTGACATTTTGAAATATTTCAAATAAAAGTCAGAATGACTTGTTTTATTAAAGTCAACTGAAAATTTAGTAGTGCTCGGGTTTCAAATGTAGCCTAATCCACAACCTCGTGCCCAATTTGTTAAACATTTTCTCAGATACAATTTTTAGCAATTGAACAATGTTCCATCGCCTTCCTTATATTTTTTTTTATTAAAAAATAAGCTAAGAAGATGGACGAAAAACAAATGGTTTTATAATTAAAAAAGAATAAAAATGACTTTCGCATCACCTAATTTTTAATGACGCAACATTGTATTCTATCACGCTACCTACCTTACATACATACATACATGCATGTCTGCATAGAACATGTGACAGACTCTTGGCATAGAGTGGTGATGAGGAGGAAGCTTGACCACACCCTAATGTAGTGATGTCATTTCTAATGCGCCAGTCTCCTTTTCTCGAATATTGAAATAGAATTTATGTATTGTGCTTTGGGTCCTTCATAAAATTACAACCTACTTTTGGTACAAGACAGTAGGTCACATTAAATAACATCATGCTTTATGAGAAAAGATTTAATCAATGATTTCTCACGTTGAATAATAATCGATCTATGGACTTATATTGGTATAGATTATACTTACATCACATATTCCGGAAACTTGAGTGTAAAATTATACAATCGAGTCTTCTGAAGAATGGGTGTAATCTCTGAGACATGATAAGTGCACATTTAATCTATTTATTAATGCTCTACATTTTGATGTTGAGCACTCTAATTACAAACGCTACGTACAACGAAAAACAAATGGTTTTATAATTAAAAAAAGAATAAAAATGACCTTCGCATCTACTTAATTTTTAATGAGGCAACATTGTAGTCTATCACGCGGCCTATATATTTATATATACAATAACGCATTATATATATAAACATTCAAATAGTTCGATTTGAAAGCAACAAGATTTTTTCGTAGTGTGTCCTTTTCATTCTAGACTTCAGCTGGATCTCAAATTAACTGTTTTAAATCTGTGCCGCAGAATATTGACCGAACTACTTTTCGTTTATATTGTTCAGAAAAAAAGAAGGAAAAAAAAAGAAAGAAAAAACAAAGTATGCAATTAAAAAAAAAAAGAATGAAGTAAAATAAACGTGGCTAAACCGGCTAAGTATCTCTGAGTCTACTCGAAGCTGGTGATATACTTAATAGGCAATGAATTTCTTGCTTTACTTTTATAAATAATCTTTTAAAAAACCTCTAGTCACTTGTATGTTCTGTTTTTAAAAGAAAACATTTAAATTTAAATTTATTTATTTGGATATCCATTTTAAATAATTTATTTCGTACAGTATAAATTTTTTTTAGCGGAATCTTGGGGTTGGGAATGTGACTGGGGTAGCGTTTAGGAAATATGATATCAGTCAGCAGTTCTGATTATAAACATACAATAAAATTCACAGAGAGATACATAAATACACAGACACAGACATACATAAACCCATTAACGCATAAACATACATTCAAACACACACTAGAGATAGATGCACACGTTATTTACTAACAAATATTTGGCTTTGTCTTCACTCTTAAATTCATTTCATTGAATATGACGGACATGGAAAATTTGATGAGTTTTTTATTCAGGTTTTCTAAACAAGCCGAGTTTTCTTTTTATAGAGACGCAGAGAGCTGAACAATATTCATTGTCCATCATTCGGCGAAACATGTCTAAAAGATAGATTGCTGACCAAATATATAAATATATAATTGTGTATTTGGGAAACAATCCCTCTTTTATACAAGTTTCATAAAAAAAAATGATTGACAAGATGCTGCGGCTAATTTTTTCATTTAATTTTTTTCTGGACATAAATTATGCATAAATTGTCCGAACGTTTTGTATATCCGAGCATTTTCAGCTATACTTTTAGCCATTATTAATGATGCTTTTATTTTACTTTTAACTGAATGTAACTCTCAGCATCTTAAATCGACACTCGACTGGCCCTGGCTTACGGTCACATCAGGATGAAAAACTGGTTACCGTACAATCACTGACGTTAAGCAACGTCGAGCCATGACCAGTACGTAGATGGGTGACCGTTTGGAAATACCAAGTGCTGTAAACTTGGATGTGCAGCTAGTGTATAATGGCTTGGAATTGTTAATCGGGGAGCCGAGTTCCTATTTCTGTGGGGGTTCGTCCTATTCACTTTCGCACAAATACACTTGGAAAAGGCATGAATCCAACCCTTTTCCTAGCTACGAGTTAATTGCCAAGACTTGTATCACTAAACTTTTATCATCTCCAAAAAAAAAGAAAAAAAAAAACAAAAAAACAAGCAATTCTTAGAATTATCCGGCTAGTGTCCTCATCTTTGTCGCCATATTTATTATAACGTTTCGGCCGTTGTACGCCCCGGCCTTCTTCAGGTGTTTGGAATGTCGAACTGAACCAGAAAATCATACACAGATGTCCTCAAGGACACATGGCACAGTGGATAAAAGCGTTGATTAGATCCAGTGACAGGACCCAAAGAGTGTGAGTTCAATACCTGGTTAAGGTAGTGGAGAACTTAGAGAGGGGAATTAACAGGAAATAACTGATAACTGACATCCATTAAAAACATGGCCAGTGGAACTAGAACAGTCTACCCCGGTGGATGAAATAAAGGGTTCAGTTCAACATTCCAACCACCTGAAGAAGGCCGGAGCGTACAACGGCCGAAACGTTGCAATAAATATGGCGACAAAGATGAGGACAATAGTCCGAATAATGTAAATAGTGTACATAATACCTCATCTCAGAAATATAGACAGATACTGAAGGATCGGATAAATATGGCAACAAAGATGAGGACAATAGTCCGAATAATGTAAATAGTGTACATAATACCTCATCTCAGAAATATAGACAGATACTGAAGGATCGGATAAATATGGCAACAAAGATGAGGACAATAGTCCGAATAATGTAAATAGTGTACATAATACCTCATCTCAGAAATATAGACGGAATTCTTAGAATCTAAAAAATATTTTTTTTGTTTCTAAATAATCTGTAAATCGTTGATGAACCGTGGAAAATGAATCAGCCAATAAAAAGACCCCCCCCCAAAAAAAAAACCCCAGACGAAACGTCGAAAGCCTCTTGCTGCACGATCGCTGTTTGCATGGGAAGTGTTCAGACGTCCGATATTCTTTGGTTTCAGCATTCCACCATTCTAACCTTCAAGGCTAAGACCCGCCATGTAGCACACATGGTAAAGAACCACCCTTATTCCTTTTGTATTCAATTCATGCGATATATGTTCCACTCTGACAGCCTCTGCCGGCAAACCGCTGTTTTGTGGCACCGACTCACAATAACATGCTTTCACGATTACTAGAAGCTTAAGCTGTTCAGGGCTAGGGTTAACCGTTATCCACCCCATATATGCACATAAATTGTGCTACTTATTTTGTAAACCTCTAACTAGAGTGGCTCTTTGGCCTCGTCGAGAGTGAACATCACTGTAAGAAAAAAATGAAATTAATCGAACACGTCTCTGTTAATAGCATAACAATATTCCTCGAAAATAGTAGATGCGCGTCTCAAGCTACGGGTCTCATGGTCTGTACTTGAACGTACACGACAGCATTTACATGTTCCATTATAAATATATATCTAAGTTCGGGCGTATGTATAATTCGTGATATCCTGTTGCACACGAGAATATACGCGTATCTGAGCATGACTGCACACACACACACACACACACACACACACACACACACACACACACACACACACATATATATATATATATATATATATATATATATATATACATATATATAAAGGGAGCTATAAAAGATTATGCCTAAGTATTTGTAATAAAGATTCATGAAACGATCCAGAACACAAAACTCGCGCACACACAAACATATAAACATATATATACATACACACACACACACACACACACACATATACATATATATATATATATGTTTGTGTGTGTTTTGTATTCTGGATCGTTACACGAATCTATATTACAAATACTTACGCATAATCTTTTATAGCTCCCTTTATATATATATATATATATATATATATATATATATATATATATATCTTTTATTGCTCCCTTATATATATATATATATATATATATATATATATATATATATATATATATATATATATATATATATCTGTGTGTCTGCGTTCAATCATGCTCAGACACGCGTATATATGCATGTATGTTCTATGTATATATTTTTTTTTTCTTGAGATTTTGTCTTTAACTTCCAACTGAAGAGAAAGGAGAGACTCTATTCACCAGCCAAGTCTTTCCCATTCAAAAATGGACGCTCTGTCTCCCGGCCACATCTCGTCGCACAATGCGAACCACCTTCTGTTTCTTCTCTCCTCGCTGTAGTTTCTTTGTGTCCTCGTATTGTTGCTTATAATCTGCCGACTTCGATAAAGAAAATATCGGCACTGCGTCAACCTAACAGATTTGGCGTTCTCTTTTGTACAGTTTCGCGGTGCAAAATTTCATAAGATCCTGAATAGCGGGAGAATTCAGTGCATCAAACAGCCGTTGTAAATTGTAATCGGCACTGAACGAACCGGTCATCTGATACGGTTTAAACTTATTGTGAGGCAATCGGCGAAAATCCTACTCATTCTAGTCGTCCGTAATCAAAAAAAAAAAAAAAAAAATCTGGGATAGTCCTTTAGGATTGAATTCAGCGCAACATTAACTGTTTACGAGAATTGCACTCTAACCATTGCTCCATATAGATCCCCAACTGCATAATTTTATCTGTTTTTTAAAAAAGTTTCTATTTATCGTTTCAACCAAGGCAGGTGATAATGTCACTAGAAGTCAAGGGATTTACAGGCATTGAAAATGAACGAGAAGACTGAAAATAGGGAGGGGTTGAAGAAAGGACAAAAAAAAGGAATTGGGTTCAAGATGACGGAAGATGGCGATTGACGTTGCATTTAAGTTGAGGGTATGAAAAAGACTAGCGGGGAAATTAGACAAAATAGATCAAAGAAACCTAGCGAGGCTATTCATATACAATTCAAAATTACCAACTTGTTCCTCAAGTAATGGATTATAAATGAAGCGTTAATTTATACAGAAAAATACACGATAGTGCATGAAAATAGCAGAAATGGATGCATTGCAGCAACAAAAACATAATTAACAAAAAAAAAAAAAAAACAAACAAAAATTATCGCATGACCACAGATAACACATCTGAAATTACTTTGTCATTCGTATTTAGTAAAAATTAAAAAAATAATTTTTTAGCTTGGTGGTTAATTTCTGTATATATATATATATATATATATATATATAGTTTATGCAAATTTAGGTAATCCGTATGGGTAGACCTGAGGAGGATGATATCCAGAGAGCTCAATGTAAAATTCAGAGCATATATGTTTGAATAAAAGACAGACCACGTTAAGATTCCATGTAATAAGTTATTTCACCATAACCCCTTTTACAGGGTTCTGGATCATCAGACTTTACTTCCAAAAGCTGAAATGAAGAATGAAAAGAAATTCACACGTTTTTTACGGACCTCATCAAGTATACGCAAAGTTAACGAAGTGAGGAAGTGAGGTGGGAGAGAGGATATGAGTATGTCATATGTATCATTTTAGTTTCTTATTTTAACCCCAGTGTGTCGGCTGGATGTTGCTCAAATCTAACGCGTCTCGTCTCAAGATAAAGGTGGCTAAGGGGTGAGCGATAAGGAAGACGTTACAACAACCCCAATAAATTACACGACAGGTTTCATTCAAGTTCTTAGACGCTGTCAGTTCGCGTTACTTTAACGTACATATTTGGGAGGTTAAGGTTTGATAAATATCTAAATTTTAAAACAATCTACGAAGAAATTAATTTGAAATTCGGTGGAGTTTTGGGTATTTTCTATGAAGCAGTCGATTGGAAAAATCCATAGACAGAACATTGAAAGAGTAATCCAATTTATATTTAGTAATTTTTCCACTAAAACTTTTATCTTATAGCTTGTTAGGTTGACATTTCTTCGTTTGATTTTTGTTCATTAAGTAAACTCGTGATTGTTTTTGATTTTTGTTCATTAAGTAAACTCGTGGTTGTTTTTATGTACCCAATTATCAACAGTTATTCCCATTTAAATAATTTTATTTTCCACATTGGGGTAGTATCTTTCAATCTCAATTAAAATACTAATCTTAAACTTTCCCTTCGTGCTATTTAGAATTCACTTCCAATTGGAGAATATTAGAGGAGAAATTTGGAAGAGATGTCACTAGCAGAAAATTAGGCCCTTCTTTTATATTTTCTTATCTACACCTGCCTTAAACCCCTATTTGTAACCACATACCTATATCGTCTTATATGCCTATGAGTTCCTATATACACCTACACACACATTCACACGGAACGATATATGTATATTTCCATCTTTACACATATACACCTGTAGAGAAAACGCACATCCGCATGTCTCTATACCTATCTCCATGTATACTTATACTTACATATATACATATACACACAAGGACATCTGCATATCCATATATACTCATACGCACATATATATATCTACACATCCATACGCATACACATACACACATATATACCCACCCCCATATATGCATACGTACACACATACATATACATACACACACATATGCATACGCAATTTGCAGAATATCTGCATACCCACATATGCGTTAATTCGCACTTACATATATCTACCCACGTATTTGTCCCTATTCTCATGTTCACCTGTGCATCCACTTATGCCTGCGTTCGAAGACTATCTCAGTATTTAATTACATTATCTATGTCTTTACACCTATAATATTACCCGATCTTTCATATTTATGGCAAAACATATAAGTACCTCACTAATTGTACATCTCCACACTCACAAAAAAAAAGAAAAAAAAAGTGGGGGAGTATGCTTCTTTTTCCGTATAAAAACATATACATGTACATATCAACAGTTGTCTCAGTGTGCAAATACATTATCATAGTTGTATACATACAGTTATGTTTTATCGTTCATGCGTGCATAGTAATATTTCTAAAAACAAAAGTAAAGTCTGATGATCCAGAACCCTGTAAAAGGGGTTATGGTGAAATAACTTATTACATGGAATCTTAACGTGGTCTGTCTTTTATTCAAACATATATATATATATATATATATATATATATATATATATATATATATATATATATATATATATATATATTATAATAAAAAGAAAGAACAATAAGATATATAATCCGGTGTTCTTATTGATATTTTTATTTTTTACAAAACAGTGCTCAATATAACTTTACAGATCATAAATATTATAAATTACCTGATTTAAAATATGGTTTCTTCGCTACACAAAAATTACCATGTTTCAAAAACCGAAGCTAAAAACTTTAAATTTAATTATATAATTAAATTACAAGCATTAATTGTGTTTCATCTTCAAGCGAATTTTGGAATAACTTATTTTTAAATTAACTGAGTTGCAAACGCACATACAATTCATAATTTTCTGTTTCCAAGGATACAGAGTAATCCAATCATTTACACACACACACACACACACACACACACACACACACATATATATATATATATATAGTGGCAATTATATATATATATATATATATGTACAGTGGCAAGCAAAAGAAATATATATATAGCATATATATATATATATATATATATATATATATATATATATATATATATATATATATATATATATAGTTAAATTCCCAGATGAATTCTGTGGACAAGACAGATTGGTATCAAATGACAATTGGAAAAAAAATCTTACATTTTGCCGACGCGTTTCGTCTTCCGACTTTTTCAAGGCAAAAATGACATCGAAATGTTTTTGTTGTTATAGTTACATTAAAATTAAAATCAAAATGATAGACGCTTGTGTCTAAGCCTTTTTTCTGGTTAATGTAAATTGCCTTTATAGTAAGGGATTATTATTATTTTTTTTTCCATCTCGACAATATAGTTAAATTCCCAGATGAATTCTGTGGACAGATTGGTATCAAATGAAATATATATATATATATATATATATATATATATATATATATATATATATATATATATATATATTATGTTATATTCCGTGCTAAAGGAATAAACACATAACGCCAGGAGAAGAAGTTTTATTATACACAAGTATAATATGAAATACGGCACAGTTATACACACAGGTCAATCTAGCAGAGAGTGCCACTAATTGAAAGATCGGACGTGCTTGCGTCGTCTTGCTCTCACCTCTTCTCCTAATCTCTCGTAGACGGTTGACTTTATAGGTACTTACTACCTATAGTGTAATCATTTATGGGGGCGAGCGGTTATTCAATTACATCATATTATAAAGAGGTAATCATACAATGAATAAATTATGAAAAAATTAATGTAATTAATGGCGTATTCTCTTCGCTAACCGACTTACATAACAATAACATAACAATCCACTGAATGACGCGATCCTTATTTATAAAATTGTTGTCAGATGGATCTGGTGTATTTTTAGAGCAGCAAGTACTTTCGAAATCTTCATGTTCCCATCGTCAGGCTGTAATTTTTTTATTTAGAAATAAAACTCCAAGGCGAAATAAATGTATCGTAGACCTACAGAATTTTTTTAAAGAATGTATTATTTATTAACGGTTATATAATATTGGAAGTTGCAAGACGCAGCGCTAGAGCTCAAATATTTCAAATGAGAATTCTTTGTATGAATTTTGTAATGTGGCTTTCGAAAGTACTTGTTGCACTATAAATATATTAGATCCATCTGACAACAATTTTATGCATAATGATCGCATCATTCTGTGGATTGTTAGTAGTTTCATGCTTATATTAAGTCTGTTAGCGAAGAGAATTACATTAATATTACTAATTAATTCATTGTATGATTACCTCTTTATAATATAAAATATATGCTGCCCAAATATATATATATATATATATATATATATATATATATATATATATATATATATATATATTAATCATTTCACATAAGTAAGGCGGTAATGCTACGATAACGCAGGGTGTTACAGGGAGGGGAAGTGAAAGAGAATGAAAAATGAGAAGACTGAGAATGGGGAGGGTTGAGAAAAGGACAAAAAAGAAATTGGGTTCAAGAAGACAGAAGATGGCAATTGACATTGCATTTAATTTTTTGTAGTTTTCAGGGCAGCAAGGAATCGGAAAGGAGCCCCAGAGGTGAGATGTGCGAAAAAAGAAACTGTTAGAGTTGATGTGGCGCTCGCATCTAGCTAGTTTAACAGTAAAACGGTGTGACCAAGTTGCCAATTTAGTAGCACGCTTACATTCATGTTGTCGGGGCACTAGAGAAAAAAGCTCATCATAGCAGTCGTCATGAATATAT